CAGCAGAGAGGCAGGCCCAGCTGGGGACCAAGAGCCGGAGGCTGATCCTCACAGGAGACCAGGAGCCGGTGGCCAGGCCCTCTCACCCAGGCCCTGCGCTGGGCACCCCCTGGGACACCCCCACCCTCCTCTGCCTTCCTCTTCCACCTGCTCCTCTCCTTCCTCCCCTCCCTGTCCTCTCCCTCCCTCCCGTCTCTCCACCTTGCCTGTTCCCTTCTTGGCTCTCTGAGTCTCCCAGCATCACATCCTCCCCAGCCACTCCACTCCTCAGCCTCTCCCCACCCCCGGCATGCTTTTCCCTCGGGGGCTGAGGGCTTGAGGACTCCAGACCCTAGTCTCATCCGGGGCTGGGCCAAGGCTGGGGGGAGGGGGGAAGGGGTGGCCCCCTCCCCCCCATTAAGCCCTTCCCTCCCTCACTTCTGATGGCTGGCTTCCTTGTCTCCACCCAGTCCTCGCCCCCAGTGGCCCCCCCAGGCCTGCCCGGCTAGGGGAGGGGGCAGGGGCCCTTTCCTGGGCCGGCTTCCCCCTCCCCCGGCTTTTGCCTGTGCCCCCTCTTTCCCATTTTCACCTTCCTCTCCTCCTTTCCTCTCTCCTTCCCCTCCATTTGCTCCTTCGCCCTCTCCTCTCTCCCCTTCTTTCCTCCATTTTCTCCTTTCTCCTTCCTCCCCTCCTCGGCCCACCCTCTCCTCTTTCACCTGTCCTTTCTCCCTGCTCCTGAGGAGCCCCCGTTTTGGATTAGTTGGGGCCACCACCGGAGGTGGGGGAGGGGGCCCTGTGGACTGCCCTCTCCCCCCCTCCCTGCCCCAGCCACACCACCGCCCAGTGCCAGAGCATCTCCCCGCTGTCATTTCTCGGGCCTCGAGGGAGCCCTGCCCTCCGTCCCACCAGGATCCGTAAGTGTCCGCAGGGCAGGGGTTGGGCTGGGGCCGGCCTGAGTCCTGGAAGGCTGTACTTACTGCCGCTTGGTGAAGTGGGGGGATGGGGGGGCACATTTCTCTGCTCCTGGGACCGGCAAATACCCTCCCCCACCAGGGGCCTGCCATGTCCCCAACCTCCATTCCCCTTGGCCCTTTCTCACCCCTTCTTCTGGGTACACAGCTCACCCTTGCCCCTCAGCGTCTGGGGTCCTGAGGGGCTGACTGTGGTCTCACTCCTCCGGACTCCTGGCACGTCTCCGCCCCTGCTCTCTCCAGCCTGGCTCCACGGTGACCGGTGACCGGCTCTGCTCGCACCCACTGTTTCTTCCGTCTCCCTCTTCTTTCCTCTGAGCCTCATCCTCTCTGCCTGCCATGGACCCATCCCCATGCCATCTGGTCTCTATCTCCTGGAAAAGTCTATCTGTTTTTGAATCTCCATTTCACGTGGCTGTGGGGCTTCTGACTCTGTCCAACTTCTTTCTTCTTTGCCGGTATCCTATTTCTTGGTGTGTCTCCGTTGATCTCTCTCTCTCTCTCTCTCTCTCTCTCTCTCTCTCTCTCTCTCTCTTTCTCTCCCTCTCTCCCTCTCTCCCTCTCTCCCTCTCCCTCTCCAAACTCCCCTGTCTCTTGTCTCTTCTGGAGGCTGCCATGCCAAACCTAGCCCTCTTACCACTTCTCTCTGTCTACTCTGTGCTCTGCCTGGGCCTCTGCCCACCTGGCTCCTCCCTCTTTAACCCTGGGCTTGGAGGCCAGCTGCCTTCTCTCACTTTTCTGCTTTCCTCCCCAGATTCACTCTGGGTGTATCCCCTTCATTGCTCACTCCTTAGCCACTGCCCCTCTCCATGCTCCACTTTGTGACTTTGTCTTTTCTTTTCCTTGATGGCCTTGCCCACAATCCCCCCAATCCTCTTCCCACTTCTCCCCTCACCCGCCCCCCTCAATGCTCCAGGTCCCCCAACGTGCCCGCAGGCACTCTGAGTGGGTGCCCCTCTATTTGGACTGGCTCCCCTCCTATGGGTGCTTTGCCTGTCCCTGCCTGTGCCCCTCCAGGTCTCTCAGTCTCCCACCTCAGTTTTCCTCCCTGACTCTCACTCCCTCTCTCTACTGGTTTGAGTCTGTCTCTGTCTGTCTCTCTCAGTCTTGCACACCCTTCTCCTATAGATCTGCTGTGTGGCTCTGACACACTTCTTTCCTCTCTTTCCAAGGAGCCTTCTTTCTTTTCAGAGGTTAGCAATTTCTTTCCTCCCCACACTTCTTGTACCTGTTGTCATTTCTTTTGCCCCCTCTCTCAGCCCATTTGCATTCTCACCCTTGATACCAGTATCTCACATGCCCACTTGCCCGTCTCCCTCCCCTGGCAGGACCCCCCTAATTCAGTCCCTTCTGCTCAGTTTGCTGCTGTATTTCACCTACGTCCCTGAGCCTGGGAATTAGGCTTGCCTTCTCTTCCTCTCTCACACCCTCTCTCTGATCTCTCTCCTTTGGTGTCTGTGTGTCCTTCTCTCTTATTTAATCCCGGTTACTTTAGGTCTGTCTGTCTTTCTGTCTGTGACTTCTTATGCACCTGTGTCCATCTTGCGGCCCCCATCCCTGGCCCAGCGCTCTGTCTCTGTCTTTCTGCTCCCACCTGTATCTGGCACCCTTGGGCCCCTGCCCTTTTGGCCCCTGTATCTTCCTCAGTCTTTCATCTTCTAGTCTCTGCTCCCTGATTTGCCCCAAAGCCCCTGGTGTCTCAGGATGACAGCCTCATTTCTGCCTCTCTCCCAGTCCCAGCCTCCACTTCCTCCCCTCTGAGCTCCTTCTGGGTTTCCCAGTTTTCTTTGCTGCTCCACTCTTGACAGGCCTTCACCTTAGATCCAAATTGCAGTCTGCAGCCCCTGCCTGTCCAATATGCCCTTTTGTACCCCCAGCCTATCTTCCCAGAAACCCCCACAGAGAGACAGACAGACAGACAGACTTGCTGAAGGTCACATGGGAGTCTGGGGCAGAGCGGGGACTGATGGGATCTTTTGCTGCCCCGACCTAGGTTTTCCTGGCCCGAAGGGACAGTCTGAAGTGTTCATTGTGTCTCTGCCCTCCCTAGGCAGGTTCCATTCTGCCTTTTTACCAGCGCAAGCAAGCACTCCTTCCTTGGAGATTGGGTGGAGTACAGGGCGACCCCAAGGCTTATCTCCCAGCACTCTGGGCCTCACAGTAACCCTCTCCCAGAGAAACCCACGGGGCATAGCCCTTGTCCAAGGGAAGTCGCCCCTGTCCAAGGGAAGTCGCACATCTGGCTCAAGTCACCCGTGCCCAGTGGTCATCTTGCAGAAGGCTGGGGTACACACAGGAATCTCTAACTTGCTAAAGGTGGGGAGCAATTGTGGGAAGCAAAGATGGACTGTCTCCCCCAATCTTTAGCTGCCCAGAGCTGGGCAGACAGTGCACTCCCTGCCTTCCTTTCCCTTTGTCTCTTTGGTGGTGCCTTGAGTGGATTTGTGTCTCCATTCTCTGTCTTCCTGTTCTAGTCTGTCTCTCTTGTATCTTGACTTCTCTCTCTTCTGCCTGTCCTGCCCCTTCTCTCTCCATCTCCGTGTCTCCCTACCTTCCAGTCCCTTCCCTCCTCTCTCCTAGTTCTCTCCTTATTTCCCTGTAACTCTCCTCCTCTATCCTCTCCATTTCTAGCACCATTTCCCTGTCTTATCATCTTTCTGGTCACTTGCATTTCTGCCTATATTTCCCTTTCTCCATTCCTGAGTCTTTTCATATTTCCTCCCTCTTCGCCTTTTTTTCTCTTTCTGTCTCTCTCTTCTCCTCCTCCCCCTTTTGTCTTTACTCTTTTAGCCCCTTAGCTGCTTTAGGTCTATCTATGTGTCTCCATGTGTGTCTCTCTCCATCTTTTCCTCTCTCTCCAAGTTTCCTAACTCCCGGATACTCTACCCTCCAGACCCCGGATGTCCAGACCTCTCTCCCTGTGGAATTGTGGGAACCAGGGACGTCAGGAAGGTGGCAAGTGAGGCCTGGGAGGGGTTGCTTAGCAACCACTGCATCCTCTCCAGCCGGTTTCTGTTGCCTAGTAACAGCTGCCTGCCCAGAGACAAGGGCCCAAGGGTGGAATGGGTCGGCGGGGTGGCACTTCTTGGTTTCCTGTTGGGGTGGGGATGGTCCCTGGTATTCGCCCTCACCTGAGACCCGTATCATGCTTCCCTCCCATTTTGGTAGCTGTGAATATTCCCCAGCAGTGGCTCACCCACTCAGTGCCTGAGTGCTGTGAGCGCCTCCCTGGTAGTGCTCCTGCAGCCTGAGCTGCCTTCCTAGCAATGCCCTCAGCACTGTCTTGTCAGCTTCTAATGAGGGCAGGGCCCTTCAGAGCTCACTCACAATGTCCCAGGTCCATGGTCACCCTGTCCAGCAGTCCTCCAAAGGGGCTCAGTCTCCCCATGGTGATCCCTGCAGGTGGCGAGAGGGGGCCGCGGCAGCTGCGTCCCCATGAGGAGGGGAGGAAGATGCCGGCTGAGCTGCTGCTGCTGCTGATTGTCGCCTTTGCCAGCCCCAGCTGCCAGGTGCTGTCATCACTGCGCATGGGTGAGGCCCTGCAGCCCTGCCCCTGCCTCCTCAGAGACCCTCCCGTCGGACCCTGGGCTCCTCTTTAGGAACCCAGGCAGACCGTTTCCTCAGGACCCAGGGATCCGGGCCTCTGCTCTCAGCTTTCCTCAGTCCCCAGCTACTTCTTCCCTGGACCCGGTTCTCTTCAGCCTCAGATCCAGGAGTCCAGACCCCAGTTCCCATCCCCGCTCCCACCCCAGGATCTCGGAGTCTGGTCCCCAACCCCTGTGTCCTCTCAGCTGCGATCCTGGATGATCAGACGGTGTGTGGCCGTGGTGAGCGTCTGGCCCTGGCCCTGGCCCGGGAACAGATAAACGGGATCATCGAGGTCCCAGCCAAGGCCCGAGTGGAAGTGGACATCTTTGAGCTGCAGAGGGACAGCCAGTACGAGACCACGGACACCAGTGAGCAGGGCCTCGGGGGTGTGGGGTGAGGCTGGGCTGGCTAGTAGCCCTCCGTGGGTCCCTCGGCCCCCCTACCTCCTTAGCTCACCTTGTCCTCCTCTAGCTCCATTCGCCCCTTCCTTCATGTCAGCTCTGCCTGTCTCCCAGAGATGGTGCTGCTGGGGATGGGGATGGAGAGGGCATCAGGCCCAGTCCTGCCCTGAGGGCCTCATTTGAAAAATAAGCTTTGCCCTGGCCGGTGTTGATCAGTGGTTGAGCGTCCTTCAGTGCACCAAAAGGTCTCTGGTTTGATTCCCAGTCAGGGCACATGTCAAGATTGTGGGCTCAATCTCTAGTAGGGGTGTGTGCAGGAGGCAACCAATCAGTGTTTCTCTCTCAATTGATGTTTTTCTTTCCCTTCCTCTCTCCCTCTAAAAATCAATAAAAAATGTATTTAAAAGAAAAATAAGCTTCATAGTTGACCAAGGACACTTAGTTTCCAGGGCTGAGTAATGAGGGGCCCAGGCAATAAGGCAGGGGCGTAAGGGGCAGGGCTACCGAAGGCATTCTGGAGAAGGCTAAACTGACGTTGAGCTCTGAAAGATGAACAAAGTATATACAAAGAGTGGTATTGCTCAAAGTATGCCACAGAGTAGGGGTGCATAAGTATTCGTTGAACACTGTGGATTGAATGAATGTCAGTTAACATGCTGGAGTTATAGACCTTTAGAAGATGCTGCCTTCAAATGTGTTTTAGACAGATTTCTTTCCTGTAGGCCTTATCAGAGCGTTTATTATATTCGTGTATATTTCAAATCACTGAGAGGGAGAATGAGGAGTAATGTTTCCTGGACTTTTTGACTTTTGCAGCACAGAATATAAATTGGGAGAAGCTGGGATAGAGGGTGAGGAGACAGATGGTGTTCTGGGCATGTGCTTATAGTCTGGAGCTGGGGTGGAGGATACGGGAGCCAAGGAACAGGGTGCTGGGTTACACCCATCCTGACCACCTGGGCTCAGGACATGTTTAGGGGGATCATGAGAGACTACATCTGGACTAGAGTGTGACTGGGAGTGGGAGGCCTGCAGTATTGGCTTGAAGATGTTGCCTTCACTTGTAGGCAGTGGGGACTTGTTGGTGGGTTTAGACCAGGGAGCTGGTGAAAGTGAATCCAGAGGCTAGATTCAGGTGATCAGTGAGGAGGCTGAGTTGAGAGCCCTGAAGTAGAGCAGGAGAGGAGGAGTCGAAGAGAAGAGGATAGGTGTGAAAAGATTTGAGGACAAAAAAAGAAAATTTGGTGTCTAGTTGGCTATTGGGAGACATATTGAAAGCAAGGGTCACATTTCCAGGTATTTGAATGGTGAGTCCTCACCAGTGTGGAAACTATAGAAGAAGCAAGTTTGGAGGAAGATAAGGCATTTAGCTTTGATGCTTTTATTTGAATGTGGCAGGGATCTCTCTGTCTTCACCTTTGGGTCCTGCTTTTCTCTAAGTTGGCTTAATTTTCAGGAATGCTCTTCCCAACTGGTGGCAATGTGTTTCCAACAGCTCAGAACTTATATCACCAGTTTAGCAAACCCAGTAATAATTGTAGCAGAAGACCTGGGGAAGGCTCCCCAAGGCCTGGTGTGAGCCCGTTTCAGCCTCCGAACCAATCACAGTGGCCAGGACGATATGGTTCTGTTATCCTGGGTCAGGTGACAATCGATCTTGGGAACCACGGGGCTTCTCTGAGGAAAAGTCAGGGTTCTGCCTTGAGAATGGGCATTGGGCAGCCATAGCAACAGCTTCTTTCGAGGCTTGAGATGCACACAAGTTTAAGGGGAAAGAATGTGGAAGAAAGTAGAGCAAGCAAATGCCACAGAAGCATGGTTTTTGGGGTGCAGAGGGCAGGGGGGACCTTGGCCACGGGTTCAGAGTGGAAGGGGTGTTGGATGCACCTAAGGTTGTAGCATGGTTGGAAAGGCTGAGGAAAATGCAGGCCGAGTGACCTGGCACTGGATCTGCAGCCCGAGGAGGCCCCTGGTATTTCCTCTTCATCCCTTTGTTTTTCTCTGGTTTGACCTGTCTCTGTGTTGCCATTTCTCCCTGTCTCTCTCCGTCTGTGCCCCCTCCCTAGGGTGGCAGGGATAGGGCCCCTGGGTCCCCATGGTGGAGGAGTGTCAGTTCCACTCCTGGGCTGGGGTGGTTCCCTGGCGGTGGGGACGGGGAGGAGGGAAAGGGTCCTTGACTCTGTGGTCTCTTCCTACCCCTCGCAGTGTGTCAGATCCTGCCTAAGGGGGTCGTGTCTGTCCTGGGGCCTTCCTCCAGCCCCGCATCTGCGTCCACCGTGAGCCATATCTGTGGGGAGAAAGAGGTGAGGCGGGGTGCGGGTCCCGGGGAGGTGAGGATGGGGAGGAGGGAGCAGGATAGAAGCAAAAGCTCCTTCTCTGTCCAGATCCCCCACATCAAGGTGGGTCCCGAGGAGACGCCTCGCCTCCAGTACCTTCGTTTTGCATCTGTCAGCCTGTACCCCAGTAACGAGGATGTCAGCCTGGCGGTCTCCCGAATCCTCAAGTCCTTCAACTACCCCTCGGCCAGCCTCATCTGCGCCAAGGCCGAGTGTGAGGGAGGAAACTGGACGTTTCGTTTTCGGTTCCCCAAACTCCCTTCCCAAGTGATCTAGTCTCCCACAGTCATCAGTGCCCCCTGGTTGGAATGATCTCTTGGTTCCCACTATACCTTTCCCTTCAGAAACCCAGAGCTCTGGTTCCACTGAGCCCTCGCCCCACTTCCTGAAGGGACCATTTAGCCCACAGATAGAACGAAGCACCTGCCAGATGCAAGACCCCTGCTCAGCATGGCCCCTGACTTCAGGGAGCTCCGAGCCAGTGGAGGACACAGTGGCTGAGCAGCTGTGCTATGGAGTGACACGTGCTGTGTTAGGAGTTGAGCAGGGGCTGTCGAAGCACAAAGTCTGGGAGGTTTGGAACCTGAATCCCTAAGAAAGGGACATCGCAGCTGGGCCTGAAGGGTGGGGGGAGGGGGACCATGTTCTGAGGGCATGGCAGGCCAAGTTGTGACCGAGGGAGTGTGGCCCCTTTGAGAGGCTCAAAGTCATTCCCTGTGGCAGGAGTATAGGAGCATGAGGCAGGACCTTGCATCCGTCTTATCCTGAAGATGGTGGAGGTTCCCACGTAGGGTGGGGTGAGGGACAGGCCCCACTTGTGGTGCAGGAAGCAGTCTTTGGCTGCAGTGCAGGAAGTGGACTGGAGAGTGACGTGAGAGGTGGCAGGGATACCAGCGAGAGGCAGAGGACATGGTGCTCGTTAGGACTCAGGTGGGGCCGTGGGATGGACAGACCACAGATTTGAGAAGAGTTTTGAGGGAGGAGAGAGGGCAGGGTCATGAATTGTGACCAGGTCCTGTCAAGGAGGAGGAGAGAGCCATTCAAGGGCACAGTTGGGTTGGAGATCTGTGAGACATTTAGGTGGAGATGTTGGAGAAGCTGTGGGTCTGTGGGTGTGCAGCTGGAGAGAGAGGGTATGCTCAGAAACCTCCAGGAAGAATTCCTGTCCCAAATGGGTGTTTATTGAACACCTGCTATGTGCCAGGCATTTTGCTTGATATTAAGGATATGGCAGTGTGCAAGCCAGGCTGGCATCCCTGCCCTTATCAAACTTACATTCTAGAGGGAGGAGCTAGGCAAGGAACATAATGAGGACGTTGTTTAGTCAGAAGGGAAAAGTCCTGTGAACAAACAGGTGAGGGACTGGGCGTGCTGGAATGAGGGGGCAGTCTGAATGGAATGGTGGGTATGGGAGTCATCGAGGGCATGATATTTAGTGAGGATCTGAAGGTGGAGGGTGGGAGCTGTGTGGGGATCTGGGAGACGCGTGTTCCAGGCAGAGGGAACAGCAAGTGCAAAGGCCACAGGATAGTGTGAGACACGGAGGACACCTGTGTGCCCGGGAAGAGGGAGTGACGGGAGATGAGTCAGGAGAGAATGAGGGTGAGCAGATGGAGGCGGGCCTTGCAGACGTTGGCCTTCGCTCTGAATGAACGAGAAGCTGTTAGAAGATTTGGAGCAGAGAAGGGTCACGTCTGCTTTCCATGGTTCTGGCTGCAGAGTAGGGAACAGACTCTGGGGGCAAGTTTGGCTGTTGTAACGGGCAAGAGATGACACTGGCTTGGGTCAGGGCAGTGATGGTGGGGTATGCAGTCGATGGGTCTAATGTGTTTTGAAGGTAGAGCTTAGGTAGATTGGGTGTGGGTGTGAGAGAGAGGAGGCCAGGCGGATGTCTAGGGTTTTTGGCCTGAGAGACTGGCAAGCTGGAGTTGCTCACCAACTTGGGAGACATGCTGGTTTGGCAAGAAGAGCAGAATGTGGCTTTGCACGTGTGAAGTGGGAGATGCCTGTCACACATACCAGTGGGGGCAGAAGGTGGCAAGAGGAAGGCCTCTGGAGGTCGGGAGGAAGTGCAGGTTGGGGTTTTAATTTGGGAGGACCCTGGGTCCAGTACCCCAAGACAGCCAGCTGCACTCTGGACAGACAGCAGCCCATCCCCTGTGTGCACCCTCATCCTCTCCCCAGTTCCCCCATGGTGGTGAGGAGGAGGGAGTGTTCGCCCCATGTCAGGCACATGGAGGGGCTCTAATCCAGGACTGGACCCACCCCCAGGCCTGTTACGGTTGGAGGAGCTGGTTCGAGGCTTCCTCATCTCCAAGGAGACGCTGTCAGTGAGGATGCTGGATGACAGCCGGGACCCCACGCCACTGCTCAAGGAGATCCGTGATGACAAGGTGTCCACCATTATCATCGACGCCAATGCCTCCATCTCACACCTCATCCTCCGTAAGGTGGGTCCCCTGTCTCTGCTTCCCTACGGGGTCATGGGCAGAAACACGGGGGACAGAGCACATGGCCTAGTGCCCATAGGCCTCGGTGGTCACATTGGGTATGGAGACCTGCTTCCAGCTTGCAGAGATAATCAGAAAGATTGTCCCTCGGCTCAGCTGTTCCCCAGTTGCAGCCCTCGTTGGACTCTGGAAAGCTGCCTCCCCTCCCTACGAACAGCTGCTGCCTCAGTGGGTTGCAGTGGGGGTTAATGAGTGAGTGGT